TGGCGCTGAATTTGTTTGGGGCTCAGAATGTCAGAAAGGTGAAGGTTGTGAGATTTGTTTTGGTATAGTGCCACCAATGGTGTTTCCAGTGTTATAACTGTAGTAAATTGGCTATAAGGCTAATTGCAACACTGATATTCAATTCAGTTTATTTGGCTTTAACAATTTAAAAAAAAAAATAACAAAAAAACAATAATAAAACAAGAGGGCCATGATAGCCCTGAGGTCGCTCACCTGTATATAGGCCCCCCAATCCCACCCCCACCCCGAACATTGCAGGTCCAATTTAACCCAAGGGCTTTTATTTGCACAAACTTGGTAGACACCCATAAGAAGATGTTTCATGCTAAACATCTAAGCTCTAGCTCATTGGGCTTTTTAAAAGAAGATTTTTTTTAAGTTTTTACTAAAAATACACATATAGGTAAAAACAATGACACCCCTGGGGCCGGCCAGTTTTGACCCCAGGGCTTTTATTTGAACAAACTTTGTAGACACTTACTAGAAGATGTTTCTTGCTTAATATCTTAACTCTAGCTATTTGGGTTTTTTCAAAGAAGATTTTTTAAGTTTTTGCTTTACACATATAAAGAAAATCAATGACCTCCGGGGCGGGGCCAATTTTGACCCCAGGTCTTTTATTTGAACAAACTTGGTAGACACTCACTAAAAGATGTTTCATGCTTAATATCTTAACTCTAGCTATTTGGGTTTTTTCAAAGAAGATTTTTTAAGTTTTTGCTATACACATATAAGGAAAATCAATGACCCCCGGGGCGGTGCCAATTTTGACCCCAGGGCTTTTATTTGAACAAACTTGGTAGACACCTATTAGAACATGTTTGATGCTAAATATCTTAGCCATAGCTCTTTGAGTTCTTTAAAAGAAGATTTTTTAAGTTTTTACAATATGCATATAGGGAAAATCAATGACCCCCCGGGGCGGGGCCAATTTTGACCCCAGGGCTTTTATTTGAACAAACTTGGTAGACACTTATTAGAACATGTTTGATGCTAAATATCTTAGCTCTAACTCTTTTGGTTCTTTAAAAGAAGATTTTTTAAGTTTTTACTATATGCATATAGGAAAAATCAATGACCCCCCGGGGCGGGGCCAATTTTGACCCCAGGGCTTTTATTTGAACAAACTTGGTAGACACCTATTAGAACATGTTTGATGCTCAATATCTTAGCCATAGCTCTTTCAGTTCTTTAAAAGAAGATTTTTTAAGTTTTTACTATATGCATATAGGGAAAATCAATGATCCACCGGGGCGGGGCCAATTTTGACCCCAGGGCTTTTATTTGAACAAACTTGGTAGACACTTTTTAGAACATGTTTCATGCTAGATATCTTAGCTCTAGCTCTTTGGGTTCTTTAAAAGAAGATATTTAAAGTTTTTACTATATGCATATAGGGAAAATCAATGACCCCCTGGGGCGGGGCCAATTTTGACCCCAGGGCTTTTATTTGAACAAACTTGGTAGATACTCACTAGAAGATGTTTCATGCCAAATATCTAAGCTCTAGCTCTTATGGTTTTTTAAAAGAAGATATTTAAAGTTTTTTCTTTCGGTTGCCATGGCAACCAGAGTTCTGCATGGAATTAAATTCTTTGAACAATTTTTAAAGGTGACCACCAAAGGAACATTCCTGTGATGTTTGGATGAAATTGGCTTAGTGGTTTATGAGGAGATGTCATTTAAAGTAAAAGTTTACGGACGGACGGACGCCGGACGAAAAGCGATCACAAAAGCTCACCCTGTCACTTTGTGACAGGTGAGCTAAAAACATGAGTTGCCTTAACTGGGATTTGAACTCCAGAACTCTGACTTCCTTAAAGAGCATGTAACCCCTCGACCACAGGGAAGATATAAGAAAACAGACTGAAGAAAACGACATTATTCTAAATTAGGGTTTGTAATCCTTATCAATTTCGAGATATTTTGTTCACGGTAAACTTGTTGTTTAACACTGATGTAAATAATCATGGAGCTTAATATAAGCATGTACGAGGATTGTCCCAAAATATCGTAGACAAAGTCTGTAACTCAATCAATAATAACACAATAGAGTCGTCCAGCTAGGGAAAAGTCAATACACCTTTTATGTGTGTCTATGCCAAACAAAATCAAAATACCTCCAAAGTTGACAAAGTTATCAAAACTTAAAGAATGCTACCCATACATACCAGGCGCACGCCATTATAAAGGTCATGACGTTATTAGCTTTTCAAAAATGTTTTTCAAAGTATTCTTCATGTTTCTCAATGCACTTTCGGTGTCAGGCGACCCATTTATCATTAATGTTTTGAAAATAGTCCTACTTCAATGTATTCAACACTCGCAGAGTTTCCTGGTAGAGTTTTTGAACCTTTGACCTCGTAATTGTGATTTCAAATAAGGAAACACTGCAAAGTCTAAGGGCGTATGGAAGTTTTTGAAAACCTATCACATCAAGTTCAGACTGTGTCTCCTGAGATCTATGGCAAGGTGCATTATCTTGATAAAATATAATGTTCTCCATGTTGTCAATTAATGCTGGATGCTTCTTCAACTGAACACAGTATTTAATGACATCGCTTTGCGCCACATTCTCATCTGATGTCGCCATTTTGGTCATTTTCAAAATAGCACTAGTGTTACGTATTATGCTACAGATTTTTTCAAAGTAACGTTACATAAACGTCTGTTGGTTATATGACGTCAAAATGAATGATGTCATTCCATATGAAGGTATTTCCCATAATTATTATTATGCTAGAAGTTAAAGGAATGTTTTTAAGAAGCATGCTCTCAACATTTACTAATATGTTATCGTGCTCCGGGTAAGTTGTACTGTTAAAGTTGAAACAGTGATAAAAAGTGTTACTTAATATTTTGGCTATTGACTTTAAGTAGGTAAATTAACAAATGACCAAGGAAGATATCTGGTAAATATCATTAAGTTATGACGTCAGGTTGAAGAGAAAATAATGTAGTCTACGACATTTTGGGACAACCCTCGTATATCTGAGAATTACACAATATTAGAAATCTTCGACCAATCAGTAACTATTTTTTCTTCTTGAAAAGGCTTGAAAATTAATGCACCTCACAGACATTTGACAATCTTTACGCAGTGATCTCCCCTTAATTTTTCGGCGTTAGTGTACTTATAAAGGGAAGTAACCCTTGGAGAAGTTCAGACTACTTGCGGATTTTGCAAATAAGCATATCAGGGTCTGAAATTTCGCTACCATTATTTGTTTGGTCTGATGACCCAAACAAATAATAAAAAATTAGAAAGCTGTAAATTATTATTTAACTCTTTCGGTAACGTAAAACTTCTGATACCACAGAAATCGATCAACACCAAGGGCCAAATTGACCCAGAAAGTAAACATGAGATGTTTAATTTGATTTGATATAAAATGCAATTATTAATAGACAACATTTGCCACTTTTTAACATATGTATGCATCTGTGTCTATTGTCTGAAAAAAGACAGGGAACTTTTTATATAATTTTCGTAAGGAATGGATTTTAATATATTATATTAATGAAATATACAAGCAGGTTTTAGTTTGCATATGTCATTGAGACATAAACAACTAATAATTTGAAGCTGTTATAAAGCATTATTTAATGTTCCCTTCTGCACAATAATTTGTCATTTTGCAAAAGCAATGATAGAATTTCTGCATTAACAATCTTCAATAATGTTCCTTACAATGGCATAGATACATTTTAAATTTTGCATTTCTGTATGTAAATCAATATACATGTACATAGAAGATGGACAAATCTGTATGAATAGGATAATGCATATCAACATACATGTACATGCATTAGTAACAGTCAGATAAAAACATGTCATTAAGAAAACTTTAGCACAGAGTTCAATGTGAATAAGCGTTATCTACTGCATCGTGGGAACCCACGATACACATTCCCTATACAGTACATGTATACTACATAACTGGTAAAAGCCTGGGTTACTGGGAATGAGTGTTCTGATTCACTGATAGCGACTTTAAGAGTTCTGAATCAAAATTGTATCTTTTCAGTTTTATTATTATGTTACTTCATTTATGCCAGTTATGCACAACGTCCTACTGTATGGTTACATATGTTATAATACAAGCATTTTAATCAATTAAGTTACTGAGAGAGTGATTAAGATTTAGTCCAGTGACTAATTGGGAGGGCTGAGTATTGCATATATAGTGGACCTGTACATAAGTTTTATAAGTCATGCCCCTTGGGTCCAAAATGGTAATTAGTTGACATAATCTTGTATGGTAATTAGTTGACATAAACTTGTATGGTAATTAGTTGACATAATCTTGTATGGTAATTAGTTGACATAAACCTGTATGGTAATTAGTTGACATAAACTTGTATGGTAATTAGTTGACATAAACTTGTATGGTAATTAGTTGACATAAACTTGTATGGTAATTAGTTGACATAAACTTGTATGGTAATTAGTTGACATAAACTTGTATGGTAATTATGTCTTCTAACTTCTCTTAATCTCCTCCTCAATCATTTTATATTTTTTGATGACATTAAAGAAATGACCCTTCAGTGATGCTATACTTAAATTGCTGGTTCACGACTGCTTGACAAGATGGATGTTAGAGCTTAAATAGTTAAACCTTTCAATGACATCTTGTCAACCACTTCATAGATTTTGATTAAACTGTACCACAATGAACATTAGGTAGTCCTTTGAACACATTGGTCATCAGATCTATAAATAGAAATAAAATTTAAAATGACATCCGCTGTAGAATGATCTTTAAGGGGTCCTTTACTCAAATTGCTAAAATTGTTTAGCTAAGCTAAAGAAATTGGCCACCAGAGCTTAAACTAGAAACGCCTTAATATGCCATTACACTTGGTAGATTTTTCAAAGTCTGTGTAGCAATGATTATTTACACAAATTACTGACAAATCGTAAATCAGATCTCCACAATTTATAAAAGATTTATATTGAAATTATTGTGTTACAGATCTCTACAAAATGTCTGAAAATCATGGAGAAGATGAACAAATACAAAAAACGCTACAACAACTTTTCTGTAAACATAATGCTGGCAAGCAGACAAACGCTGCGCCTTTATTTCTCTCTCAGGAAACTACACTCGGTTATCAGGGATAACATTAGTAGAAGGTATGTAGGATAAGTATAGTGTATTTAATGTTGTACAGGGGTGAACTATTATTCCTAACATAGTCTAACATGATGCAGGTTATTCTTTTTTTGTCATCCGAAGAAGCATCTGCAATTCAAGACCTTGAAAAATCGGCCGTCAACATTAATGAGTGGATGAACAGAAATAAACTGAAAATGAATAACACATACTGAATTTATTCTTTATGGAAGCCGTCAACAATTAGAGAAGTGTAACACAAAAGAAATTGATATTTGTGGTAACAAGATCAAATCACAACATTGTATAAGATATCTTGGTGCCTTCTAAGATGAATCTTTAAATTTCAAAGAACATATCAAAAAGCTGCTATGCTTAACTATTTTAAGATCAAGAGCATTCGGCAGTATTTGTCTTCTGATGCCACTGTCACTTGTTTTATTTCTTGTTATATCTCACTTGGACTACTGTAACGTCATATTGTGCGGTATTTTACAGTTATCTAAACTTCAACGTATCCAAAACATGTGTGCTAAACTTGTATTAAATAGATCAAAATTTGATAGCTCCAAGCAAGCACTTTTCGATTTACACTGGCTACCCATTAAAGCTCGTATAAATTTCAAGATCCTAGTGTATATGTACAATTGTTCTGTAGAAAATGCACCAACTTACTTAATTATGCCCCCCTTCAAAGAAGAGGGAGTATATTGTTTTGCTAATGTCTGTCCGTCGGACTGTCTGTCTGTACGTCGGTAGACCACATGGTTTCCGCACATTATCTTAAAAATTATTTATTGCAAAGTCTTCATATTTCACATACTGCTTGGTCATAGCTAGTAATGACCCCTATTGATTTTGGGGTCACTAGGTCAAAGGTCAAGGTCACAGGGGCCTTAAATGTCAAAATGGTTGCCGCCCATTATCTGGAAAACTATTTATCACTAAGTCTTTATATTTCACATATTAAGGACGTTTTCGGGAGTTTTCATATGCACATATAGGCAAAATTAAAACTGTTCAATAGCATTTCTTTAAACTTGGCATGTTGTTAGAATATGATAACAGAAACATTTTAAACGAAAAAAAAATTGGGGTTGTAACTAGTAGCTGGCCCCAATATGGGATTCTTTAGGCCAAAGGTCAAGGTCACAGGGACCTTAAATGCCAGAATAGTTTCCACTCATTATCCTCAAAACTACTTGTTATCAAGTCTTTGTATTTCACATTTTGACTGATCATCACTAGTAAATAACCCCTATTGATTTTGAGGTCACTAGGTCAAAGGTCACAATAACCTTGAATGTTAAAATGGTTTCCGCTTATTCTGGTGTCACCAATTAGTTACCAAGTCTTCATATTTCACATATTGATTGGTTATAATGTACCTAATTAGAATTACCAATAGTATGAGTCAAGGGCTTGAAAGGGGGGCATATGTGTCTTTCGACATTTCTTGTTAATTTGTTGACTCCTCAAGCCCCAAAACGCTCTTAAAGATCTTCACAGTCAGCTGTTGGATGCTATGAAGTACCATTTAATAGAAATAAGACCTTTTCAGATAGAAGTTTTAGTACAATGGGTCTAAAATTATGGAATAAACTTCCCGGAGACCTTAGACAAAGCAAATCTTTTTTCAAGAGACAATTTAAAATTTATTTCTTTAAGGACTTCTCTTCCCTATCATTAGTATGGACTTTATGGTTAGTTAAAACTGTGATGTTAAAAAAGCTGAAGAATAATTGAACTGTGGTTAGAAAATTACTGTACTGTAAATATTTGTCTTAAAAACCAAAAGATAGAGATATTTCTGTGTATGTATATATGTGTGTGTGATATGTGTATATGTATGTGTGTATGTATATGTGCGTTGTTCCATGAAAACATTTTTATTCCTTTTATCAAAGATGTTAATATATAATGATGTGTATTTTAATTAACTATTGTTAATGTCTTTTAGATTTTGTACAATGCTATTGAATATGTTTTGTACATAGAAATAAGTGTTTAATCAAATTTTCAAGTTTCAAGTTATTATTAGTCCCCTACCGGTTTACCGGAGGGGACTTTAGGTTTACCCTCCATCCGTCTGTCTGTCTGTCCATCCGTCTGTCAGTCCGTCAGTCCATCTGTCCACAAAACTGGATCCCGCGATAACACAAAAAGTACTAAAAGTATTTTTATGAAACTTGATAAGTGGATAGATGGCAATATGAGGATTATGCACGTCTTTTTCTTTTCTTCCTATGTTGAAAATTCTGGTTGCTATGGCAACAAATAGACTGAAAATATGGCAAATTTTTACACATAAACTGGATGCAGTGATAACGCAAAAAGTACTGATGAAACTTGAAATATGGGTATATGGCAGTCTGGAGATTACGCACGTCTTTTTCTTTCCTTCCTATGTTGAAAATTCTGGTTGCTATGGCAACAAATAGACTAAAAATATGGCAAATTTTTCACATGAACTGAATCAAGTGATAACTTAAAAAGTACTGGAAATATTTTTTAACCAGGTTTTCAACGAAAACCTGGTTTATAATTGTAATGCCAAAGTCAGCGGGCGGGCGTCAACTTTTGGTTTCCGCTCAATAACTTTAGTCTGCTTTGGCCTATTGACACCAAACTTGGTGAGTAGGTAGCTAATTGCATCAAGAGGCAGCTTGGGATTGCTACCCAGGTGTCTGTGATCAAGGTCACTTTTACTAAAAATAGGAATTCAGTTTCCACTCAATAACTTTAGTTTGCTTTGGCCTATTGAAACCAAACTTGTTGTATGTATAGCTTATATCAAGAGGCAGCTTGGGATTGCTACCCAGATGTCTGTGATCAAGGTCAAGGTCACTGTTACTAAAAATAGAAATTCAGTTTCAGCTCAATAACTTGTGTTTGCTTTGAATTATTTACACCAAACTTGGTGTATAGATAGCTTATATCAAGAGGCAGCTTGGGATTGCTAGGATCTTAAACTTACTTTGTTGTTCTTGGTTTGTTATTCTTTTGTTCCTAGTTTACATAGTCTAAAATGATTATATTTTTACCAAACTGCACAGGAATGATCTTAAGGTGTTCTTCAACAAAAGATATTTAAAACAGAATTTAACCCAAACCGAAATGCATGCCTGCGACAAGCTTGCTGCAAGCTTACAGCTTAAATACAAGGTTGCTGCATGCTTGTAACAAGCTTGCGATGACTTTTGAAATATATTGCAAGTTTGTTTAAAATTCATGCAAGCTTGCGAACATTTGATGCAAGTTTGCAATGCCGCAAGCTTACAATTAGTAGACACTTAGAAAATTTTTGTACAAATCTACACTTTGAATTTTTTTGTTAAAGTAATGGAAACACTTAGAACACTTTTGTCAAAGGTGTACACAATAAAAAAAAAATCCAAAAATGATAGTTTCAGTGATAATTAACTAGTTTAAACTAGATTACCACGCTAAAGTTTGTCCCCTATTTTGTTAAAATTTTGCCAAAATATTTACCATACAATGCTGTATCTCAACTTTATGTATTAAATTTATATGTTAAATGAGCCGATTTAATGGACTCCGCCTATTTATATAATGTACCCGATTTGAATGAGCGAGGGCTAACTGTAAGTCGGTTATAGGTAATATACAGAGTTTTAAGAAACTAATTTTCTCGCCTCACTTAAATTGTTTGCTTGATAATTTATTTCTTAAAACTATGTATAAATAACCTATACTACTATTAAAAACTGGAAATAGAAATTCATTTTTAATATGAGCCTATAAAAATAATATTGTATTAATAATAAATAAATGTATGCATTAAAAATCTTTAATTTGATATTAGAAAAGTTAATTTGTCATAAAACCCAGTATTTGTTTAATAATCTTTCACTATATATACAAGGATTATTTTTTACTTAAGTTAGAATATATTAGCATAACCAGTATTTCAAATATTTCATAAAAGCAACAACTCTCATTCATTTACAACCTTTAATTAAACTGCAATATCACAGGTGAATATAAAATTTACTTACATGTACTTTGTATTGATTGATGTATGTTTTTATTCTTTGATATTTTTTTTTTTAATTGGAAGAAAACTTTAGTGTAGCAAATAAAAAATTTAACATCAGCTTCTTTTTACAATTTATGATAAAATAAGTTTATCATGGTAATTAATGCCTTTTTTTTTTTTTTGCATGTTACATAGGATTCAGAGACTGTTCATATACACAGCAGCTCCCTTTCCAAATAGGGTTTACAGTTTTTGCAAGCTTGCGCAAGCTTATACATTAAGCTTGTAGTTATACATGCACAAGCTTGCGACTTAGCGTGTGCAGGCTTGCGGATAAACCTGCGCAAGCTTGCAAATAAGCTTGCATTTAAGCTTGCGATTAAGCTTGCGTAAGCTTAAATATTAACTAGTTTGCAATCAGATTTTTTTTAAATAACTGATCGCAAGCTTGCCGCAAGGTTCCAATTACTAGCCAGTAGCCAGCTTGCAACATAAGCTTGCAGCAAGCTTGTGACAAGCTTGCAATGTTAGCTTGCGATTTTGGTTTGGGAATGCTTAGATAGGACTGCATGCTACAGTAGGCAAACAAGCTAAAATAGACTTTAACAAAAGTATCGCTCAAAGTGATGGATGCTTCCAGAACATTCACAATTGTCAAAGTATTTCAGTGCACATCTGAGTAAATAGTAAATGCAATAAAAGCAAACAAATGTTAGTCTGAACTCAGCACCAGTAATATTAACCCGAATAAGCCAACTTAGAGAAGAACACATGGTATTTACCTACCAATTATAAAAGACATCACTCAAATAATAAAACTTAAGACTGCATGAACAAAAGTGTAAAAAAAAATTTTTAGCTCGAATTTTTTGAAGGAAAAAATCCAGCAAGTCTTTCCCGTTGCCAGTGTTGTCCAGAAATGTTGTCATGGGTCATTTTTTTCTATGCCCATGAAGGGCAGCATATTACAATCGCACAGTTCATCCATCTGTCTGTGCATCCCCACTTCATTTGTGGCCG